AGTCTGGCCCTCCAGCTGTGGTGAAGTTACAAATCCCATGATGCATCTCTCTCCCCCCGAGTCATGTCTGTGGCTGTGAGAATCTTCCAATGCCTCATGGGATTTGTAAGAGAACACCACATAAGACCGCCTGGCATGCTAGCATCAACCAATGACTTTCTGCCTCCCCAGTCTCCACCCTTCCCAGCATTCAGTGCTGTGAGGTGTTTGGCTGGCCACCCGCCTCCTGAAACGTATTGACTCATTTTAAAAAGATGGCAATATCTGTGATACACAGTGTGATGGTATAAGGGCTTGTTCATACGATACTGTTACCACAATGCACTGGAATATAGGAGTGTAATTGGGTGTTTATCTACTTTTATGAATATGTACACGCTTCTTATAATACTCCTGATTTTACTGTTTCCAAGTAGGTGAGCTAGGCACACATAAGGAAGAACTCTGGGAAGTCTGATGTAAAGGGGGGTTCTCAGCATCCCCCCTTACAGCTGAGTACATAGGACTCTGATGTAAAGGGGTCTCTGAGGACTCTGATATAAGGGGGAACTCTGATGTAAAGGGGGACTCTGGACACTAAGCCCCCCCCTTACATCTGGGTCCCCAGTGATGCAAGGGGGACCTCTGGGCACTGAGTCCCTCCCTTTACATCAGAGCCCCCCTTACAGAATCTGATGTAGTGGGTGGTCTATGAGGACTCTGATGTAAGAGGGGACTTGGGATTCTGATGGAAGGGCAAGCTCTGATGGCTCTGATATAAGGATGACTCCGAGGTAAGGGGAGCTCTGATGTATGGGGAAACTCAGGATTGTGATGTAAATGGGGCACTGGGGACTCTGATGTAAGGGGAGTCTCTGATGCGAGTCTGACTTGTATTTTTGAGTTAATATTATGGTAAAGCTATCTTAAATATGGGTGTCAGTTTTTGTAGACGGGCACAATTTCAGTGCTTGCCATAGGTGCTATTTTCTGTAGATAAGCATCTGCCTATAGGAGCAAGTCATGTGTTCCCAGTCCTACAGTGAGCACCCAGCCCTGCAGATTTGTGACAGCTTTTACTCCCCCGGGAGGAATTTTAATTGATTATATTTTATGGAGAGTACTTCAGGCAGGCTGGAAACACCTCAAGGTGGGAAGGAACCCCCTAAAACTCCAAGATGGGCAAAAACATAGCTTTGAAGTATACCAGGAATATCTCTGTGCCAGAGTTGCCAAGAGATATACGTAGCAGGAAACTACACCAAACAGCTATCACTGAAATCACTTTTGGGAAGACTAACCCCTTAATTGTTTTATGTCCAACGAAAGTTACAAAATTAGATATGCAGTTACAATGTTGTTGGCTGGCCACCATGGGGACTCTGATGTAAGAGAGGACTCAGGGGATTCTGATGGAAGGGTGAGCTCTGAGGACTCTGATGTAAGGGAGGGACTTTGCATTGAATCCCCAGTGCCCCCCTTACATCAGAATCCTGAGTTCCCCCATACATCAGAGCTCACCCTTACCTCGGAGTCATCCTTATATCAGACAAGCAAAACAAACGACAAACGCACTCAACAATTTGTTACCAGTTATACAGTAAGGTGCACACGAAATGGGCTTTGAACAGTAAAACAGTAGAAAGGCATCATGGCACACTCACAAACCAGCATGTAAAACAACTTGTCTCACCACTAAGGACAATGACAGAGGTTTGGATACACGTCTTCTGCAGAGGATGTGAAAGCCGCACTGCCGCGCCAAGGCACCTCTTATAGTGCGGTCCTAACTCTAAACTTCTGCCCCCATGTGCTCCAAGATGGAGACTCTCATAGTTTAGAGTTAGGACCGCACTATAAGAGGTGCCTTGGCGCGGCAGTGCGGCTTTCACATCCTCTGCAGAAGACGTGTATCCAAACCTCTGTCATTGTCCTTAGTGGTGAGACAAGTTGTTTTACATGCTGGTTTGTGAGTGTGCCATGATGCCTTTCTACTGTTTTATCCTTATATCAGAGTCCCTCCCTTACATCAGAATCCCCCGAGTCCCCTCTTACATCAGAGTCCCCATGGTGGCCAGCCAACAACATTGTACTAATGATTTTTATTTTCATAGTCTTACCTGTTACAGCAGTTGGGTCTTGATATGATTGTGCAATCCAATAGGCACCAGAGTTAGATCTAGTGATCTTAGTGATTAGCACTCAGTAACAGAACTAAACACTCGCCTTCTCTTCCTCTTAAATACAAGTCTGTCTGAGGACCCTTGTGATGAGGTGAGTGGTGCTCATGGGCTGTGCATGTGGACTTATCTCATCCCGGAAGGATATGAAAGGACTCGGTCATTTTGGAGCAGTTAGTTGTTCAGCTAGTTTGTAGTATCCATATTATGAAGTTTGAAATGAGCTGATACTTCTGTTTTTGGTTTGGCTTTTACTGTTGTTGTTTTTATAAGACTTGCCTTTAGAAGTATTGCAATCTACTTACACAAGTATGGAATACAAATATTACATACTAATAAGAACCATGTACTCTAAGGGGTTGATTTATAAATGTCTGCATAGCAAACAGCTATTTGAGTGAGATTCGCAGCGCATTGTGGCCACTAGATGGAGCCGAGGTGCATAGGAAATTATAGGATATTACTCTTATTATTGTTAGCCCAAATCTAACATTCCCTTAGTGGCCAGCATTCCAGTATTAGACTTTGGGGAGGGGTGGGGTTATAGGTGTTTGTATTAAGTTGGAAAAATACTGCCACAGATCATCAAAGCAGTGAGTGGTTTTACTTTTTATGTTTTGTAACAGTTTCTATCTGCCAAAGGCAATTATCAGCCCCAGGCTATGGGATTATTATAGCACTTCTGTGGCTAATGTATCTACATACAGTAATACCGGTGTTATCGGAATTGACAGGACTGTTCATAATATACTAGTGCTCATTTCATCTTCAAGTGACGGCAAGCTGATTTATGTTATTCGCAGGAACATTCAACCAGCAGACAAAATACCCCAAGAACATTCAATTTTGCCCCATTCTCATAATAGCTGGGTAACCCGCACAGAATGGACGTGCATGCAGTTTCACTGGACAAATAGCTATGGAATTTTTTTTTAAATATAAAGATGCATTTTCTTTCTTTAGGATTGAGTAGGGAATGGTTCAAAACTCCCGTCAAGTTTTTGTCTTCTTTTTTAATTTGCGATCTGTGACCCATTGGGTAGATTTCCCTCCACTTTCTGTCCTTTAGTTAAAACAGGAAGCAATAAGCTAGTTCTCCACAGTGAAGGGAATACCCTCTTAGCTGTCATTGGAACAAGTGTCCCCATTGAAAACTTTCCCCTGTATTCCTGTTCTGTATTCCTGTTCTGGTTCCTTTTTCCTGTTCTGGTTCTGAAATCCTCTTCCCCTGTATTCCTGTTCTGGTTCTGTAATCCTGTTCTTCTGTGTTCCTGTTCTGGTTCCTTATTCCTGTTCTGGTTCTGAAATCCTCTTCCCCTGTATTCCTGTTCTGGTTCCTTGTTCCTGTTCCCGAAATCCTCTTCCCCTGTATTCCTGTTCTGGTTCCTTGTTCCTGTTCCCCTGTATTCCTGTTCTGGTTCTGAAATCCTGCCCCCCCCTGTATTCCTGCCCCCCCTGTATTCCTGTTGCCCTCTATTCCTGTTCCGGTTCTGTATTCCTGTTGCCCTCTATTCCTGTTCCCCTGTATTCCTGTTTTGGTGACACTTGGACAACAATTTTGGTTTGTCCCTCCCTTTTCAGTCCCGGTGACAGTTGTTAGCAGGACAAATAGAGGGTGGATCTTCCAAACTGGGACACAGACAACAATAACGGCTCACAACACCATCCAAAGCTAATAAAAGAATAAATGCATTAGCTACACTTTACGTCATTGGGTTTACTCAAGCCTGATTTGCGCTTATAACCTATAATTGGCTCAGATATGATAAGAAATCTGTTTCTCTGAAAAGCAATTCAAGTGTAAGAATATCCTTTAGAGAGATACTGTAGCCTTGGCTGCTCATGTGAAGAACTCAGCCTCTGTAACCTTGGATACCGAGTCTTTTAGAAAAAAGGAAGCTTCAAGTCCTACATGTGGAAATATGACTTGCCTTTCTCTCTAACCGTTGCTGCTTTCATTCCCATGCATCAGTCCCGCTTGCAGCCATTTCTACTTGTGCAGGGCATGTACCAGAAGACTTGAATTGCAACATCTCATGATACACACATGGCACATGCAGAGCAGTCTGGAGATGGAAGTGCCCAGGAAAATGGAAGATGACAGTGGTCCACCCATCACCACCCCTGAACAAAGATCATAATTCTTGATAGTTTTTGGACTTCTGAATTACTCCCATGCATAGCAGTGTAAGAAGCATAACATATTTACATAATGCAATGTTAATGGTTTGAATTTTTTTTATTTTGACCAACAAAGAATAAAAAATAGATCCTCATAAGAAACACTGATTTAACTGAGTAGAGCATTTCAGGGTTGAAAATGTAAGTGACAATTAACCTCATTACTTCTATCAGATAAAATGGAAACATGCTGCTGAATAGCAAAGAAATGATAAGCAAAAGATTGTGAAGAAGCCATTACATGGAGATCTGTTTCTACAAAGGAAAACTACTAAGTGTGAACTAAAAGCAGGGAATCCTCTAGAGAGAGAAAAGCATGAAATACAGATGAACAATTTGGGGTTATTAATCATTTGGAAGCTACTGCTCCTTCTATGGTTGGTGAAGCACTCTGGAGATGTCTCGTAAGCGATATAGTTTGTGAACAAGACAGGTCATTTTACTGGGATGAACATATACCAAGAGGGAGCATGGGACCACCTGATGTCATGAATGAAGACAGGGTCTCAAGTAGCTGCCCCTGTTTCAGAAAAACGTGTGATGTTTAACTATATTTTTCAATCAGTAACTGAAAATATATATCGGCTTTCTAACCAATGTATAAGAAAATGTTTTGGTTAGTAGTGACCACTTATATGATACCAAAGCGAAAGTGGTTTCTTGCGATGGATCCCTTGTCGATAGATACCTGTCATTGGAATGGCTATACTTCTGTTTCCTCTGCCATGGAAATAGTGGAATGGCTGGGAGAGCAAGGTTTGGTCTCAACCTTTTTCGTTGCTGCAGATTTGTTTAGGGATTCTTAGAGCAGTGAAGAGGTTAACAATTCTTGGCTCCTTTTCAACTTTAACTGATAATCTGTCTAGGACGGCCATAGCCTGTCATGCCAGACTGGGAGGCTCCTTGGTTGCTACCCATCTGCAAACCAATTACATGCTTTCCTTGTTTCATCTTGTCGTCAGAGAAATCCCGTTTGTGTTCCTGGGCTTTCCTGGGGAAACAGATATCAATGGTCATGTATGTAGGATATACAACACGGTTATCAAATATTTGGGAATTTAGTCTCGCAGCTTACTTCATGAACCAGGAGGGGTCTCCTTGGTACAGACCATCATTTTTAGTAACTGCAATACTCCCAATAGCCAAAACTGTCCTCTGCACAGCAGCCAGATCTTTACCTGTGAAGACATTTCCATCATTAACTAAAGTGTATTGATATTAGTCCTTGTATATAAAGATGTGCATATCACACATTGTGGTTTTTTCCTTAGTTAATAGACACAGTTCACAATGTTATAACTTCACATACAATACTAATGACACATTTTTGACAAGTCTGCATATATCTTGCAGAAGAGAGGTGGATTAGTCATTAAAGAGCATGTGTACTGACTTTGTACATCATTTCTTTACTCAAGGTAGGAGCAGCAACTCACTGGTTGGCCAAGTAGAGAGGAATGCTTTAATAGCAGGTAGAGTGGTCTCTAGCAACCCCTAATGTGACATGGCCCTTTGGAACCTTTTCAAATATTAAAATATATATATATATCTCAAACATATATTGTATATGTACAGTGTGTGTATATATATATATATATATATATATATATACTGTACTACTGTATATTTTGGTTTCTGTACAGCATTTCACGTACCTTGTCCAACATAGATTTAAAAAAAATAAAAACAAATGTTACAATGGATAAAGCCAAAAATCAATATGCTATGCGACATAAATTTTTGTGGGGAAAATATATTTGTTTCACATGGCTGTAATCAGTCATTATACTAACACGCTATGCCAATGGCACAAAGTGTGTTCTGGGAGGGAAATGATCAGTGTTTCCCAGAAGTTGTACAAATGTGTCCCCTACACTCCTTACAGCATTCACAACCTTGGATTTAAAAGGGGTGCTTGCAGTGATGATCACGGATGGCGCTGTGCATGTCAAACTTGTATAAGATGAGTTCTGGCAAACACTTGTATAGGAGGAAGATCACCAGCACTCAGAAAATTTTGGCAAATCTTTGGGGTCATTTATTATAAAACAGCGTCACATATATCAATATAGCCAAAATATAGGCTATATTGATATACAGTATGTGACGTTGTTTCATAATAAATGAACACAAGGATTTGACAAAATGTTCTGAGTGCTGGTGATCTTCCTCCTATACAAGTGTTTCCCAGAACTCATCTATAAAGCACATTGAGTGTGCTAATGTACAAGATCCTCAATGAATTATAAATAATCTATTGACATGGAGAAATATGTATCTATTCATATATAGCTCATTACATCAGTACAGGCTATGTTTCCAATATCTACAAGCTAGCATCTCTTCTCTGAGTGTATGTGAACCCCCAGAGGAGTGTGACTTAGACCCCATTCATACGTAGCGACATACCTTTTGCAGCGGATCCGCACGGCCGGGATAGCGCGACTTTCGGGGCGACGTTCCAGCGCCGATCCAGCGACGGTAGCGCGACCTTCTCCGTCGGGCTCCATAGAAAAAAGGCAAAATCGCGCAAAATCCGCCGAAAAAAGGGTCCGGTAGAAGCGACTTGCGACCGCGACGAGCGACGCGCGACATGGAGTTAAGACAGCTCCATTGAATAGCATTGGCCGGCGACTTCTCGCGATATCGCGCGGCAAAAATGCGCGATATCGCGCCGGAAATCGCGCGATAATTCGCTACATGTGAACGGGGCCTTAGTGTGGGCAGGCTTTACCTTCATACAGGTCGACGGTTTGGAACACATCGGTTTTCACAACTCCATAATCCTCAGATGCCTTAAGGAACTGTGCCACCTGTTCCATTTGCTTGAAGACCATGCTGGGAGGGGGGTCAGGGATCTTAATAGGCTGTGAGCCTTTGGGGTATAGGCTATTAATCAGTTTTGAAAGAACCTATGAAAAAGACAAAGATGAATATGTAGACTACAAAGATACTGTGATATAAATACTATGATGCCTCTGTTGGCCTTTGAGTTTACTGAGATTATTTCTCAAAATTATTTTACAGCTCAACCCCAGCTTAACTTTCTGTTTTGTTTTGGGTGAAAGGGGAAGGGTCCCTGTCAGCACAGTTTCTCTACTTTACTGTCATGGAAGAAATAATGGGAAATCTCTGCAACAGGGGTACCAACGAAAATAAAAAAAAAACTTTTAGTAGTGTAAGTGAAGGGTTAGAACTCTAGACAATGTTTCTGTTTCTGTCCCGGTGACAACCACACTCCCCATTCCTGTATGGGCTTCACAGGGACTCCACTGAAATATCTTCAGTGGAGTCATAGACGAATGAAAACCTGTCTAAAATGCAACACCTGACCGCAGTCCCCAAACCTAAAAAAGAAATGACTGGTGTCAGGCTTTAACCTTTTGGTAAAAATGTTTCTGCATAATTTGCTAATTAAAACGTGCTGCAAGGAGATAACTGAAACTGTAATACAACTCAGATTAACACTCCTTAGTGACCCAAGACCAGTGACTATACTCCCTTATAGAATAGACGGGTACTGGATTTTTCATTGTTTCAAACCTGCTTTCAGGACATAGTGGTACAATGGTTGCAGTTAGCATTTCTGTACCCAGGTGTGGTCCGGAACCAAAGAACTATGAACTATAGCTCATTCTGACTCACAATTCCATTCTTCAACCATAGCTGGAATCCATATCTTCCTTGCTCTGGTGGCTCTCCTACGTCAGAACCAGCCTGAAGCTTAATCCACTGCACTAGACGTGCCTCCAATTCGTCATCATACTTTTTCTCTATGCGGGAGAGGACATCGCGGCTCATGCCATAAGAAGGGCCTTTATTAGCCATGGCTGCTTAGACCTGCATACATGAAAAAATTTTGATCATATTATCATGCTTTGTCAATCAAAAATACAATGTATGTCTTACCAAAAGCTACGTTCTTGTACTGTGCTAACATACATATACAGAAAGACTAACATTTCTGGGCATAACAAGCAATACATGTAGATCTGTGTTAAAAATGTATTTTCGTTATTGCACAGTGGTGTCCATCCAACACTGAGAACTTCTTGATAGGAAGGGAGAGCAGCATGAGGATCTCATCAGTCTACCCCCCTCTACCCCTAAGTGGTCAAAACTATTGCATACATCATATGCCCTTTCCATTTTCTAGTCATTAAGTCATTAATACATTAATACATTAATAATGGCTGACATATACACGTACAAAGAGTCTAGTCTCTGTTTTTCATTTGTCACAGGCAACATCCACTTTCAAGTGAAAACTGACTTTATACAAGAGTAATATTCTTAAATAAACATGGCACTATATACTACAGGGAAAGAAAATAGACACTCTGGTATTGTATCATCTGATATTATGTTAATATCAGATAATACAAAAGTTTGGTTGTTCTTGCACCCTGCTTTGCTTAACTGCAGTTTAGTCTTCACAGAGGTGCGAGGGAGTGTAGGACCTGGCTGTGCTTTCTGCCAGGGGTTCCTGAATCACAAGACTGAGCAAACATTTCACCAAAATGTTCACATAAAGAATAAACCATGGTACAGGGATGCTAGTACAGGTGCTCGCTGTCTGATGTATGAAGTATGGCTATGTTGCATAAAATTCAGGCAGGTCACTGTTAGACCAGAGGTTGGCAACTTGTATATAAAATCCAGGGAGAGGAGAGGGAGAGGGAGACAATATAAATATATATAT